GAGGCGCAACCAAGAAGAGCGATAGAGAGTAGAGAGAGAGATGAGAGAAGAGAGATAGAAGAGAGAGAGAGAGAGAGGAGAGAGAGAGAGAGATAAGAGAGGAGAGAGAGAGAGAGAGAGAGGAGAGCAGCCACACGCGCGATGTCCATCCCCGAGCGGCACGACCGTAAACCATTAGTGCCTATGTCTACCGCAAGGTGACAGCAAGGGAAACGCCAGATAGGACCGGACTGGCGTGATCACCATTTTGCCCTTTTGTAGCCTTCTAAAGAACGTAACTCCAACGAGAAATGGGGATGGCAGGTAAGGATATCAAGCGGGATAGTCCCAAAAACGCGCGTAAACAGGTCTACAGCATTGCGAGCGCAGGCAGACGACACTCGCGGAAAGGGATGCCTGACGGACGTTGAACACAAGGTCATCAAAATGACGCGGCGGGAGGGTACGGCATGGTGGACGATGCGGAGACATGGCGGTGGGTTAGGGACACATGGAGAGAATAGAGGACTCCGGAGGCGCTGACAGAGTGGCAGGACCCCATACCTCGGGAGGGATGTGGCAATCAGCGAGCGGAGCTGTGGATGCGACAGGAGTGTCGGCCTCCTCATCTGGGGACTCATCTGAGCCGGGAGGGGACGGGGCAGCGAGTTTGGAGGACGTAACAGGCACACAGTGGCATTCGCTCAAACGGAGTTTATGCTGTTTGGGACGCAGGTAAGAGACAGTGAACTAACACATAAAACACCAATCACCGTGCACAGAGATGACCAGGTACCGGTCACGCGCGCGAGACATGTCCCGATCACAAGCAAGATAGCCAAACCACCAGGAGACAGGTCAACGGATGGCAGAAAGCCATGAGTTCGGGCTTCGCATGCGTAATCATACTGATGATTCCGGAACCGGGAGGCATGTTAACAAGTTGGCCATCGGAGATATCGAGCGCGGAGTGAGTGAACTGGTCACGGAAGCCAAGCATTCCTCGGGAGGACAGACCACTGCTAGGAAAGCGGCAGCTCAGCCGCGACCTAGCAATGACGAGAGCGGGTACTGTCACGGCGCCTCCTCAGTGCTGACGCGTTCCAACTCTTGCTGTAATTCGCCACCAGCATGCTCAGCAGTGGAGTTCTGGCTTATACTTTTGATCCGACCGACCTTCAGCACAATACCAGCTTTCAGCAGGGAGGCACTGGAGGAGAGAGCGACAAACCTGGAGCTTGGTCTCCGCGCACAATAACCGGGGGACCATCGACAGCACACAAACAAGCACACAAAGAGGTAAGGGAGGCCTCCAACGTACACGCACGCTCGTCAGCCGAAAGCAAGTAAGCGTATATAAGTCACTGTTTCGCGAACCACAAGAGTCGGATGGCAATACTATTGCATGACGATAGCAGCGTAAGAGACCTCGTCGGCGGTGGAACAGAAACAAGAATTCCCCGCAAGTGGCAGCGGGAGCTTCTTGAGAGATACACGTGCATGCTACCCATCATACAAAGTTGCCAAATGGGCGTCAAGGTTGAGGGCAAAGACGAACCGATAAAACAGCTGTTTGAGTTGGTGCTGATTGGGAGCGCAAACTGGATACGGAGAGCGTAAGGGAGGCCAGGAGCAATCTGACGAGGGGCAAGGATACACAGCCGGGATGGTGTGAATGGCCCATCACGACGAACGAAAAGGCCGTCCCCAGAAATAAACGCCACGCGGAGGTAGCGCTTCACAGCACACATTTTTGGTTTGTTTGAGAGAAGGGCGTGTTTCCTGTAGCAGGTGAGCCTTCGTGCGGCGCAGGTCGGCGCAGTCCTGCTGAGTCCAGTCCATACTGGGTCCAGGAGACTGGATCCAGATCCTGCTGAGACTGGATCCAGGCCCTGCTGAGACTAGATCCAGGTCCTGCTGGGACTGGATCCAGGTCCTGCTGAAACTGGATCCAGATCGTGCTGAGACTGGATTCAGGTCCTGCTGGGACTGGATCCAGGTCATGCTGAGGCTAGATCCAGCAGTTCCGCCCGGTGAACGGGAAACGGCAGCAGTCCGACATGACGTCATAGACCGTAATGTGACGAACATGGGGCGTGCTCCAAACATGACACAAAGGAGCACACCTGGCAGTTTGGGTCAGTGCAGGCCAGGGCATTTCGGTGCGTGGATATGACTTTCGGCCCGCCCTTCGAACTCTTCCATCCAGCCTTTCACCATTGGTCCCTAGGGGCTCAAAGTTCCCCGGGAATAATTGGGGTCAAGGGACCTGATTATGTCACCTCATCATGTGCCTCCTTCCCTCCCGCACCCCCTTCCTTCCTCTGCCCCCGCTCCTCCTG